ATGTCTTACTGCGCGTTTTTTCCTCCCATCCCTGGGTCAGGTTACACCCAAATCCAATGGATTCCCATATTGAAACGACTACCAGGGATGGGTGTACCTTAAATAACTCCGCCGAACAAAATTGCGGTACCAATGGGCTCAAATTTGGTAATCTTTGATATATATATATTTTTTTTTGGCCATTCATTTTTGGGCTTTACAATGTTTAAGCGAAGCTGAGACTGTACATACCTTGGGGCCGGTTCTCGATTGCTGGGTAATTCCTGAGCCATTCTTATGGGTAAACCATCACAAACCCACATCCGCTGGTTTTTTAGCCATTCCATCCCTTGGATTCCATTTGTAAATCATCAGCAAACCCCCATGAACATGCTCACAAGTCCCAAAAATAATGTGGGGATAATCATGAATGATAATTCAATATGATACTAATCACAAATAGATATATAAATTGGGATAAAATAAAAGAAACATCAAACATGGGGATGATCTAATTTGTCATCATCATTAGGGGCAAATCCCCTATCATGATTAGACACACGGGACCGGTCCAGGTGCAAAGAACTTCTCACCAGCTCCAGGCTTGACAAATCGCTGCGAAGTGCTTCGAGGACGACCTGGCGCGGGCCCGGAAAATCATGATAAATCATGGGCATCTCAAGGTGATGGAGAAGCGAAATTTACCATCTGGTAAACATACCCAAAACTATGGAACATCACCGGTTTTTAACGGGTAAATCAACTATAAATATCTATAAATAGCAATTTGCAATAGCATTCAATAGCTATATTAGTTTACCAGAGGATACCTAATACTGAGGCACACCCCCCCTACACTTCACAAACCCAAACATGTCCACGTCCCGTCGGGTTCCTTTTTGGGATTGTTCCCGTAATTGTTCCCTGTAAATTTGGGAGGCGTGTTCCATAATTTACGAGGAGTGAGGGAAGATCCTGCTAAAAGTCAATGCAAGTACCAATACCATTACCAATGCCAATAGCAGCCCCTAAAAACCTTGGACCCAACATATCAAACCAAAGGGTTCTGGGGGTGTTTTTCCTATTGAGATCTAAAGGGAAGATATTGTAAGTCAATAGCTATATACAGTAATAGCACTGGCAAAATTTGACTACTAGATGATAAATGCATGAAAGAAACTCCAATGATACTGTTGCAATGCTTCGGATCCCAAACCGAATTTAAAAAAATGGACCAGATACGGTGGTGTCCAACCGGAAAATCATCCATCATCAGAAAATGTCATCTTAAATTGTCTACGTCCTTTCCAAAGCTTGACGGAAGCCTCTCAACATTCCCTAATGTTTCTTGTTTGTGCAGCCGTTCCTGCCATACGTCGGTGCGGTCGACCTCATAAACTGTGCAAGATCACGAGTTCTGAAGCGACGGGGCTTCACAAGGTCCCCTTTACATGACCTTCTTTGTGATAGGCATGACTGACCTTGCAGATCCGTCATGTACACTCGGCCGCCCTGGTCAATCATCTGTGTAGTACTGTGCTGAAACATGAGTCTGAGTTGCACAGTGGCCCATCGATAAATCCATCCAAGAATCCTTGAATTATTTGCATCTCCTATGCAGGTGGATTGATCGCCCAGATGCGCCGAGCAAGAGTTATCCATGACTGGACTTCAGTGTCTTCGAGCATCACAATTTACATCGGGAAAACTGAGAAAAAGTAATTCGAGGTCCTAGGCCTAGGTGTCCAAGCGGAAAATCATCCACCATCAAACAATGTCATCTTACCTTGTCTATGTCCTTATCTAATGTTTCTTGTTTGTGCAGCCGTTCCTGCCATACGTCGGTGCGGTCGACCTCATAAACTGTGCAAGATCACGAATTCTGAAGCGACGGGGCTTCACAAGGTCCCCTTTACATGACCTTCCTTGTGATAGGCATGACTGACCTTGCAGATCCGTCATGTACACTCGGCCGCCCTGGTCAATCATCTGCGCAGGGCAAGCTGTTGTGCACATCAGTTTGATCAATTCAAACATCGATTCCACATGTGCAGGAGAACCCCCTTGAGAAGCAGAACATACTGATTGCAGGCATTTAGAAGAACTACACCATGCCTAAGCGTCCATTAGAAACAAGGGCTGATGTCTAATTGCTCTGGACCTCCCAACTAGATCCAAATAGTAAAGATGTAAAATATAAATCACACACACACCATAGATAATATATATATATATATATATATCATATATATAATATATATATATATATAACATAACACGCATACACTTGCTTGTTTGCACCAACTACATCTGTTATACAAATATTAATCCACTCACTATGTATAAAACACGTTAAAACAATACATAAGAATCATTAAAGCAGGTGTCAAATCAATATTTGATTTCTTCTTTCACTGCAAAAAGCAAGCTGTTGGTGAGGCCAATCCATTCATATAAAATGTGCTCAAGGGGCTGGACCTACATCATGCATTGCCTGTGCATCTGTCTGGTCAGCTTCCGACACGCGCATCTTGCGCGGCGACGGCGGAGCGCATGGCCGTTACATGAGCCCAAAGAAACCATGGTTCACGAAAGGGGCCAGCAGGGCTCAGGGCACACCCACGGGAGACATCCCACTGAATTCCACGGGTCGGTCAACTGGGAACCGTAAAATTGTGGACACAGGTTCCCTTTATTGGGAAAGGTCATATGGTTTCAGCGATCAGCGTATTTAAAGAACAATCACACATCCATGCAATGCCCTCAAACTATTCAAATCATCAGAAAAGAAACCCGGGCTTACTCATGGGCCTGATTTTTTGCCCTAAAAACTCCCATATATATGATATCTAATAAATCAAGGTCACCAAATTGCAATTTAGGAACCCTATCCAAAAATTGGGACACTAAAATGTACAAATTCGTGTCTTCAATCTATAGAAGGGTTAAACACATTGGACCTGGGTGCCTTCTCTTCTGGGGCTATGTTTGACAGGGCATTCGGGTGCCGTCAATCACCACTTTTCAAGAATAGGCTGTGTTGAAACGTGAGGCTTCAGGCAGCAGGTGAACATCCTGACATGTTCTGGGCGCGTTTTCTCCGGCTTAACAAAGAGAGAACAAATAAAAAGAAAACACAATGCAACAAAATGTGGGTATCATGTATCAATTATTTGGATAATTCTTCACATCCCCGTTGCCTTTGCGCGCCCGTTGCGCGCGCGTCATGGCTGCGAAACTCAACTTTCTGAAGCAACGCACAATTTTGGCTGTGAAATGAGATGAAAGGGTCCGGAATTGTTTTGTTTTTGTTTTTTTTCCGTTTTTTTTTGTTGATCTCCTGTCCTGTCCGTTTCCCTTGCTATGTGCAGCATTTTGGAGCTGGAAGCTGCCACATTTCAACTGTTTTGCAACGTTTTGGGGTTCGAACCTCTCATTTTCCTAAGTATTTGCAACTAGGATTCACTTAGGGTTGGTTTATTTAGGTTGGTTTATTTAGGTTGGCTTAGGGTTGTTTTTTGGGTTGGTTTAGTTTTTGTTAGGTTGGTTTAGGGTATTTTAGGGTTGGTTTAGGGTTATTTCGGTCTGGTTTAAGGTCTATTTAGAGTCCAAATTTAGAGATTAGAGTCTGTTTAAGATCTATATAAAAATACCAAGGAAGAAATAGTCGTTCTAAGAAGATAGGTCAAACAACCCAAAAAATGATTCACTTTGTTCCAGTATGTTTCTGGGAAAAGCTCAGCACTACGCTCACGTACACAAAACATGAGGAATTTTGGAACCCTAAAACAATCTGAAAACTATATACCTAAAACAACGAGATTTCAGGATTTGCGGGTTTTTGCGTGTTCTTTCCTTAAGTCGTTTGAGGCGCTGCAAACATTTTTTGGCCTTGGTCTCACCAAGCCCAAAAACATGCAACCAAAGTCCTAAAATCGAAGACCACAGTAGTATCTAGGTGTTTTGGGTAAAATCAGTCGATTTTTTGGTCAAACTCCGAAAACACCGATATGTTCCTAGGATTTAGAGGGTCCATGTTTGTTAAAAAACATATTTAAACTTAGCTTGAGGTCTATTTAGGGTTGGTTTAGGATTTATTTGGGGCAAATTGTCACACTTATTTAGGGTTTACTTGGGGTTTACTTAGGGCTATCTTAGTTTCCTTGTGGGTTATTGCGGGGTCTATTTAAATTTAGGTTTATTTACTGTATACAATGTATCTTAGAGATTGTTTTGGCTTAAGAAGTAAAAACGCAGGGAAAGCAGAGAAGCAGAACAGCAAAGAAGCAGGGAAAGCAGAGAAGCAAAGAAGCAGGGAAAGCAGAGAAGCAAAGAAGCAGGGAAAGCAAAGAAGCAAAGAAGCAGGGAAAAGCAAAAAAACAGAAATCTTGGAGAAACAGAGCAACAGAAATCTTGAAGAAGCAGACAAACAGAAATCTTGCAGAAGCAAACAGGCAAAGAAGCAGGGAGCAGAAAAGCAGAAAAGCAAAGAAACAGGGAATCAGAAATCCAATCCAAGAGAAAATCCCAAGACGGAAAAACAATAATTCTCCAAATCACCCTCCTTCATGAAATGGCATGACTGCGATTGCCAAAGGATGACAAGGGCACTAGTAGGTTTAGGATGTAGGGTAGTTTAGGATACTCTGAGGACATTGAAGCAGGAACTCTCTCAAAAATGAAAACATGGTCTCCACTATGGGGTGCTCCAAACTTAAATTTTTGATCTTAGAAATTCCCGCCCTGTCTCATTATGGACGGCTTTGAGGAAGCTTGAGGCATGGTTGAAAAAAAGTCAACTGCCGATTTTGCAGGGAAGGTGGGATGGAAACAAGTGGACAAACAGCAGTTTCCGACACTTTTTTGAGAATGGGTTCATGTTGATGCCTAATACACTCAGCAAGTAGCCGCAATTTGCCGCAATGATGCCCCTGAAACATGTGGAAACGCCCTGTAGAGCATAAACATGCGCAAACGATCTGAGAAACAAAAACACCGCAAGCCATTGCATAAGCAAACGGTCGCGCAAAGGCAAATAAGCCAAACATTATGATGCTGCACTGATTTTGGAGCAGCTCTTCATCTTTTCAACACCTTTCTCTTTGTTGAACCTGATGTAGCAAGCTTGTTCAGGACATGTGTGAAGGATGTTCAGCCATTTGCTGTCGGGCCCCAAAAGCCACAACCAGGTTTCCTTGGATGCCTAACTTTTCATCAACCGCTCATGTTGGTGTAATGGCTCTCCGTAAAATCAATGGTTCTTAACGGTGCCCAGGTTCCGCCCCTCATTTTCCTGAAATTCCGAAGGGGATGCTGTTAGACCAAGCTTGAAACACTCCAAACGGTCCCCTTACCTGTCAAAGTACCCACTTGCTGTTTTTCAACATCTTGAGTGTTCTTGCACACTGGTCATGGATGTCATGGGTACTCAGAGAGGCCAAGGCATGCAACATTCAAAACCTGTCGGATTCAAAAATGCCCGCAGTTTTGATGCGCGTAGAATCCCACAGAGCATACCACAGAGGTATTTGTTACCCTGTGCGTGGGCACGCATGTCCAAAAACCGCGGATCTAAACAGAAAAAGCAACCATCCTGGTTGTTGATTCGCTCTTGGTCTTTCTAACTGGAACGAGCTCATTTGTTTCCTCATCGCACTCCAACGTCGTCTTGCGCACCAGGACCCGTGTTGGTTCCAGCGTCCATGGCGCCTTTAACTCACCTGCGCACCAGTTGACCTGGCAGAGGGACCGGTTATCGACATATACATGTTTGCAAGGAACTGCAGGTGCCTGGAGGTGTTTTGACATCTCTAGACATCGCCACAAACATCCATCCTTTTGACCAATTTTGAACATGATTGACATGACACCAAACATGGGGCTTTAACGCCAAAGAAATGAACATCTTTTGCACCTCTCTCGCTCTGATCAATACCTTCCAATATCAGATTCATCTAAATTCCCTGGAGATAGCATGGGCCCCCGCCCCAAATGGCCCCCAAAATGATAAGATCCAATACTAAACCTGGGTGCTTAACATCAGCAAGGAGTTATCTATCTATCAAGTGCGGCCTACCCACCACCGGGCTAGCTTCCTGAGAAAAACCTGAGCAAACCTCCCTGCCATTCAAAGCAAACTAAAACAATTTCAATCAATTTCAACAACCTCAAGTATACACACTGAACATATTGGAATGTATCATGGCCCTCCCGTATTAACCTCATGTAAAAAAATTGTGCCACAGAAATTGCACAAGTCTTCCGTTTTTGGACCCATGGAGTTTTCGCAAACTTTGGCACCCCAAGTCTCCAAGTCAAACTGGCTCAATCATGTGTACTGTGAACCCCCTATGTTTCTTGAATCATCTTCCATAAACATAGACCCTGGCATTGAATTATGTTTTTTTTTCGATGAGTCGAAATTGCCCATAGTTGACCGGAGGGTATCCCCATGTATCTCCCCTACACCCAAGGCGCCCCCGTATCCTTTGGTCAAAATGCTTTCGGCAGCTGCGCCGCACCCTCGGCGTAGCGCAGCGCCGCGTCCTCCGTCAGTGATGGAGCACGGCTCCCGCCGTTGGCCCGGCGATACGCTGCGCGCTGGAGCGTCAAGGCCGCCTGGACGTAGTCTCCTGCGCTGTGGGGAAAAGATGAACATTTTTTCAAGATTTTTTTTGGGACTTTGGAATCTTTGGAATTGAAATAGACCTCAGATTGAATGGGATTGGAAATGTGTTTTTTTTTCAGGTTTATGTTGGATGATACCTCCATGGGGATATATGACTTAATGCTTTATAGGATATGTTTTATGCATTTGGGGCAGTATAGCTAATATATTCTTATACACCTTTTAGTAGTCCATTAATTACACACGTTTATTACTTCCAGCCAAGCCGCTCACACTTTCCCATTGCCGTCGAAGCACAACACATTGGTAGGGTACCAAGACCTTTCCATCCAGTGTATCCTGAAGGCAAAATCCAAAACCGACGAACTACTGGCTCCAAAGATCTCAAGCTCTCTCAACACAAATCAGAAAAGGGCATCGGATAGGGTAAGTCACAAGAGAAACAATCCTCGCAGAATCTTGCAGCTTGGTATTGGATTTGACGGAACTGGAAAGCCATCTTAACCTGTCAATTCTATCCACAACGCCGGGGATCAAAGGCAGGAATGCCGTGCCCCAGGCTCTCTGTAAAGCACTTCCTTCGCCGCATTGGGCGGCCCCGGCTAGCGAGTTCTGGAAGGTGCTGTCTCCTCTGTTTCAACATGACCAGCATACACAAGATATACATACATATCTTACTGGGCAAATAAAAAATCACTAGCCTGAAATAAGGCCGTGGTTGTTGTTGTTGTTGTTGTTGTTGTGGTTGTTGTTGTTGTTGTCGTTGTCGTTGTTGTTGTCGTTGTCGTTGTCGTGGTCGTTGTCGTGGTCGTGGTGGTTGTGGTTGTGGTTGTGGTGGTTGTGGTGGTTGTGGTGGTTGTGGTGGTTGTGGTGGTTGTGGTGGTTGTGGTGGTTGTGGTTGTTGTGGTTGTTGTGGTTGTTGTGGTTGTTGTGGTTGTTGTGGTTGTTGTGGTTGTTGTGGTTGTTGTGGTTGTTGTGGTTGTTGTGGTTGTTGTGGTTGTTGTGGTTGTTGTGGTTGTTGTGGTTGTTGTGGTTGTGGTTGTGTTGTGGTTGTTGTGGTTGTGGTTGTGGATGTGGTGGTTGTTGTTGTTGTGGTGGTTGTGGTTGGTTGATGGTTGTTTGTGGTTGTTTGGGTTGTTGTTGGTTCTTGTTGTTGTGGTTGTTGTTGGTTGTTGTTGTTGTTGTGGTTGGTTGGTGTTGTTGGTTGTGGTTGTGGTTGTGGTTGTGGTTGTGGTTGTGGTTGTGGTTGTGGTTGTGGTTGTGGTTGTGGTTGTTGTTGTTGTTGTTGGTGGTGTTGTTGTTGTTGTTGGTTGTGGTTGTTGGTTGTTGGTTGTTGGTTGTTGGTTGTTGGTTGTTGGTTGTTGGTTGTTGGTTGTTGGTTGTTGGTTGTTGGTTGTTGGTTGTTGGTTGTTGGTTGTTGGTTGTTGTTTGTTGGTTGTTGTTTGTTGGTTGTTGTTTGTTGGTTGTTGTTTGTTGTTTGTTGTTTGTTGTTTGTTGTTTGTTGTTTGTCGTTGTTGTTGTTGTCGTTGTTGTTGTCGTGGTTGTCGTGGTTGTCGTGGTTGTCGTGGTTGTCGTGGTTGTCGTCGTTGTCGTTGTCGTTGTCGTCGTTGTTTTCGTTGTTGTCGTTGTTGTCGTTGTTGTTGTTGTTGTTGTCGTGGTTGTCGTCGTTGTCGTTGTCGCTGTCGTTGTCGTCGTTGTTGTCGTTGTTGTCGTTGTTGTCGTGGTTGTCGTGGTTGTCGTGGTTGTCGTGGTTGTCGTGGTTGTCGTGGTTGTCGTGGTTGTCGTTGTCGTTGTCGTTGTGGTTGTGGTTGTGGTTGTTGTTGTTGTTGTTGTTGTTGTTGTTGTGATTGTTGTTGTTGTTGTTGTTGTTGTTGTTGTTGTTGTTGTTGTTGTTGTTGTTGTTGTTTGTTGTTCGCTGCCCTCCTGCTACCCCCTAGCAACGCGCAAGGGTCAGCAATTGTCTCAGAAGGATCAACGGTGGCTTTCACGGGATCAGATAGCTCATGCGAGATGTAACCCTAAAAAGGTTGTGCCAAGGTTGGGCCAACATTGGCACCCTCACATTTGCAAGTAATATCCACATGATGCTGCATACAACGCCCCCATTCGGCATTGACAGTGGCAGGCAGGCCTAAAACACCTGAAACTAGTTGGCAACAGCAAGTTCCAGGGATGGGTAATGGACACCCAAAAATGTAGCCATTGACTCAAGGTGACACGAGCAAACCAGAAGAAAGGAACATCTGGAAGAGCCAGCATAGAGATACATAGATTCAGATGACAATCTCCACATGCCGATGTAGCTCACCCAACTACACCAGAAAGGTCATCAGTTGACGCATTCCACTGGTAAACCATGAGGAAGCTCATAACAGGACAGGCCTGGTCAATGGCATTTTCCATGGCTGCAATCTTTTGGCTCTGGGCCTCAATTTTGGCATCCTGATCTTGCAGTCTGGCTTCTGACGGACCTGGCAAGTCCTTCCCTAAAACTGGTGACAACCCTTTACTTTGCGCAGCTTTGGCCCATGGATCAAAGCCTGTGGGGCCTCCAATGACCATGGTGGACTCTTGCTTCTTGTCTGACTTCAATGGCATGGGACCTTGTAGTGTGGTAAGGTGGTAAGACCAACACTCACCGTCAGAGCCGTTTGGGTATCTGATTTTCACCGTTTTTCACCGTTCCACCTGTGACCATGTCAGAAAGACCTGGAAAAAATCTGTTCTCATACATTGCAATGCCGGATCCTTCTGCAACCATCTGTTGTCCCTTCAGAGATCTAATGCCGTTGTGCATGTCAAAGTCCATGTCGTCAATCAACACATTGTGCCTTGGATTAAACCACCTGGTACCACAGTGACCATACTTTTCGAACCCAGAAAACAAATCTTTCAGTTTCGAGGGCGTCGACCACATAGCCATTGCAAGGTGTCACGGTCCAATCAGGGTGCTACCCATGCACCACAAGTCACGCCCCGGGGAGGCTTGGACCCAATGCTTACCTGAAATAAGGCCATTTTGGGATGATCCCCCTTCTCAACCATCATTCCAGTGATGTCGGTGAGGTCGTTATAACTTACCCAGAAATGTATATATATATGTGTGTGTGTGTATTACTTGCACACACACATATTGGAAATTGACACCCCCAAATCCCAAGTTTTTTATCACCATCTTTTCACATCTTTTCCATGTTCAAGTGACCATGAGCCAGGTTGGAGCTGGGAACCCCTGGTATCACGGAATTGGTTCACGGGATAGTCGACAAACCAGTTTTCCCATGGTAAAACCAATGGATATTTCAGGGGTTCCTGCGAATTTCCCAACCAATCTGGTGACTGTGGCCCACGTGGATGACAATAACGGCTATCTTCTCCAGGGATAAAACAAAAACAAGCTGGTGCTAAGAAAGACTCCCCCAGATCGAAGGAAAGTGAAAAAACAAATGTGCCAGAACTGTTTCTTCTCGTTCTTTGCACCCATTGTTTCTACGAAAAGTGGGGATATGGGATAGCCGAGTGATTTCCCTTTCACCTTTTGCAGGTGAATCTCCATCATCCAAAAAATCCAAAAACAAATGATCCAGCCAGTTGGAACATGTTGGAAGAATCTACTCAAGAAATAGACATGAAATTACTAGGATCTTTATATAAAATATCAATCTCCTCATATCTCCTTCCCCTTTCCACCTGCATCTTTCATCCCAGCTACAGATACTCTGCCAAGTGAAATTTGCCATCACCCGTCTGGAACCGCGTCCAAGAGCGCGGGCGCTGGCTGTTTTCCCATCCGTTGGCACGAATGGCCGTGGTACCGGACCTGGGTCTCTCTCCATGTGTCAACCCTGGAATGCTGGGAATGCTGCAATGCTGGGCCGCCTTTTTCATAGGCAATGGTAAACTTTGGGACTTCTTGAGGTACTGATGCTGTGCATTCCCGGCTCGAAGGTGTATCTGGTAGCTTCCATTCGCCATTTTTTTCAACAGGATGATTTTGATCTGGTCAGTGCATGTCAGTGCATGTCAGCGATGTATTTTGTGAATGTGTTTGACTGTTTGAAAAATCAACATCTTTCAAACAGATGGGCCCCAAATGGCCCCAATCTGTTTCCCCCCGATCTGTTGGCAAAGACCTGAAAGCCCAAGGCGCTCGTCTGGAATCATGGGCGGTCCGCGGTTGTAGTTCCGCAGTGCCAAACACACGTAAAAATTTTCATCGATGGCGCGCATTTGTTGCACCCCAGGACGGTTCATGTACCAATGCATCACCTGAATGGTGCGACGTGTGGGGGCTTCAAATCTCTGTGATGTATGCTAAGCATGCCCAACTGCTTGGGGGTTATCGACACGATGTATTGATCGTGGTTTTCAGACTCAGGTTGAGAAACAAATGCAATTGAATCACAATAAATCAAACACAGTGATTCATTAATTAGATCTCCATATATATATATATATATTCTATTTACATATATGTAAATAGAAAATATATATATATATATGTTATATATATAATAATTTGTCAAACACGAGCGAAGCCACTGTTTAGATTCAGTTTATAAATTTGTTTCCCAAGGATTCCGAAGATTTGACAAACCCTACCAGTATGACCCAGCACCGCGAAGTTGCAAGCACCTGGTAGCTCTTGATCCATCCCTACGTGCGCCGCATGAAGCAGCCACATCAACCGCTGGTTGAGGGCAAGGGAAAAAGATTGGACCAGTCCATACTCCACACTAAAATATTAAACCAGTATTCAGGTGTCTAGTATAAATTCAGTATCAACACTATTATATATGTAACATTTAACATTGATGATTTTGGCCGGTCCCAAATGTTCAAACAAATATTTCCCATCATATCCCTGGGGTCACACTTAGTGCATGTTAATACCACTTAAAACCCCTTCTTTCACCATCATCGACCATACCAGGGATTAGGGGGCCATTGCCGGCATTCAACAACACATCAACACCATGTGACCGTGTACGTGGTGTCCGTCAACATCTGGAAAGATGGAGAGGTCCAATCGACCCAGAAACTCCCAGTCGTTGGAGTGCTAAAGACCAGGACGATGCGAAAATGCTGGTGCTTATCTGTGTTACCTTGGCGTTGCAAGGGTGAAGGCGATTCGAATCCAATGGCGATCCTTGACATGTTCAACAAAACCACTGCAATGATTGGTTTGGATGTGACTTCTGGAACATCAAAAATCATGGAAATTCAGTGAAATCCATATCAATCCATATCAATCCATATCAATCCATATCAATCCATATCACATCTTAGAGGTTGCCGCAACTTGGACTCCGATCCGCACACCCAGTGACGACAGATGGTCATCTGTTCCTGGCCAACCCCATCGCTGGTGAAGACGGCGTAGCTGCTATCGCCTTCCTCCGGGAAATCCCGTCGCAGCTGATGCCGCGCTAGGACGGGAAACGTCCTCGCCGGAGTTGGTGGATCCGGTGCCATAGGGTAAAAAACTGTTTGGACCATTCTCGCAGGATTTTGCTGTTTGATCTATTTTTGTTAATGTTTGTTTTGTTGAAGGTTTTTTTGGGAGTTGCTAAATGATGCTAATTGTTGCAAAAATGCGAGGGATACCGAGAGATTTTGAATGTCCGAGCCTGTTGCAATTGGTCTGACTCTGTTCCGTCCTTGCTTCCAAACAGCCTTTCTGCATGAAGGGGCCATGACAAGCAAAGTTGCCAAAAAGCAAAGCGGCCATGCGAAGGATGAACCTGGCAGAAATGTGGAAACAACTCGAACAAATGTCCAAAAAATAATCTCCAGCGAACGTGGGCAAACCCCAGTCCCCCCAATGGTGGAGCAAAGGCCCCTACAATGGGTACTTTCTGAGGACTTAGAATGGATTGAAAATTAAGAAACCCAAGATGCCAAGAGAGGCTTATCATGGCTCATGCATTGGGAAAAAAAACAGCAAAGAATGCCAGGCATGCTGCTTTCAATGACACTGATACGCTACTTAGTATGATTCGACTTGCTTGAGTTTCTCAAAGTGCCACCACAAACTAACCCGCAAAATTGCAAATCTTTGATACTATGCAATTTTTTGAAAAATGACAGCTGGTTAGATTAGCGTACCCGCAAACTCAAAGGCAACAAATAAACTCTAATCAACGATGTTAATGTCAGCAATACGAAACCATCCAAGAATGTTTGATTGTTTTACTAACATTAATCCCTATATCTATTTCTATCTATATATATATATATATGTATATATGTTCACCCCCCACCAGGGCCTATTCTTTTTATTTTTTCCTATTGCATTGACTGTCTCATTACGAGGTCAACCGTCTGCTATCTGCTATCTGCCTAAAAAACAATGCATTGGAGAGCCTTCTCCCCTTCCCCCATCCCCAAGTAAGTCTCCGATTTTTTTTTTGTTTTTTTTTTCCGTTTTTTTTTCCTTGGTACCCATCCCCTTCCAAAACCCAACCCAAAACAAGTCATCCAAAATGTTTGTATGTTTATTTTTTCTGGTGTGGGGGAAAGGTGGCCGCCAGATTTTTGAGATTTTGTGGGTTTTCTTCCTGCATCCTTTGGAAATTAAGCAAGGCTATGTCGTCATATTGTGATGTGCTGTTCACACAGAGCAAACCTAACCCAGAGAAAAACACACGTTCACCTGCAAAATGCACTACCTCAGAACAATGGTCGGTATTGGTTTAAATATGTAGCAAAACCCAAGATAAAAAAAACATACCTTGGAAAGTAAGATGCATTTCCAGTTTACAGCAGAATACTTCGACCGAAAATACAAGATTGCAGTGGAGAAGTTCAGGTCATATAGTGTCCGGGCAAAATATTGTTTTTTGTTGAGGCAAAAAACAGTTGAAAGTAGAATTAATGTTTCCATGTGGTTGTGTTACAGCACTAGCTTCCATTGAAAGAAGTAAACAATTTTTCTTAGAAAGGGAATGCAACCCCTGATTTGTTGAACAGGTCATTAGCATGTTCCATAAAATGGTTACCTTTCATACAGTGACACCAATGCATTCTGCGCTGGGTTAGCAAAAGGCCACTAAATAACATGACACTAATGACTGATATGTTGTTTATAGCCAGCTTCTCTCACACCAATGCCCTGCCATGGTGTAGTCTGTCACCGTTGAAGTTATATTCTAGTTAATAGTGGAAGTACATACAATGTTTACTTGAAATTATATACTAATCAATAGTGGAAGTACATACAATCTTGAATGAGTTCGGGCTGCACAGCGCAGCAGTTGACCCCAAAAAAACCCGGCAAGAGACCCCAAACAGTGTGGGGGGAGTAGAAGGATAATGTATTAGAATGTGGATGATGATGCTAATGAATGTTGAAGAGGATGTTGATGATGGGGTGAGAGGATAATGTATGATAATGTTGATACTGATGTTGTTGATGATTATGATGAAGATGATGAAAATGATGAGGTTGATGTGGGGGAGGAGGAAGATGATGAGGTTGAGGAGGATGATGTTGAGGAGGAAGACCGATCCCAAGACCGGGAAGCACACTTTGTGCGAGCCTGCGCAGGCAACATGCGCATGGGCATTTCACAAGAGCCATTCTGTATGGAAATTTACTGGCCTGGCAAAATGGCCGCGGACGCCTCCGGGGACATCGTTTTGTGCGAGCCGAAATGCACAGGGACAGAGTACAAGAGCAATTTTGTATGGAAATTTGCAAGGAAAACAACCGGGACACCTCCGGAGACATCGTTTTGTGCGCGCCTGTGCAGTCGAAATGGACATCAACATTTCACAAGAGCCATTTGTGTAGAAATTTACAGGAAAATGGCAAACGCCCCGGAGACCACCTCGATTAAACACCGGGCCTTAACACCTACCATAAGAACCCCTCAGTGTGGCCACACTGTTTGGGGGAAATGCAACACATTGAGCTAAAGGCAAACCTGCAAACAATATCAGGCAATGCAGTTTTTCTTCACTTGCTTTCATTGTCCAAAGAGAAATATGTATATATGTATTTTAAATTACTTTACTTCGTGTGATCCCCACCATGACATTTATACATGTTCTTACTGGCACATCTTCTGGCATTCTATCTGACATATCTTCTGACATTCTATTTGGCATTCTATCTGGCATATCTTCTGGCATATCTTGTGGCATTCTATCTGACATATCTTCTGACATTCTATTTGGCATTCTATCTGGCATATCTTCTGGCATATCTTCTGGCATTCTATCTGACGGGCATGGACAGCACATATCTTCTGAAAAACATTCTAATTTGGGCATTCTATCTGACTTATCCTTCTGACCAAGTCTAATTTTGCAAGCTTCTGACATTCTTTCGGACATTCTATTTGGCATTCTCAGTTCTGGCATATCTTCTGTCTGGCATTCTATCTGACATATCTTCTGACATTCTATTTGGCATTCTATCTGGCATATCTTCTGGCATATCTTGTGGCATTCTATCTGACATATCTTCTGACATTCTATTTGGCATTCTATCTGGCATATCTTCTGGCATATCTTCTGGCATTCTATCTGGCAAATCTTCTGGCATTCTATCTGGCATATCTTCTGGCACTCTATCTGACATATTTTCTGGCATTCTATCTGGCATATCTTCTGGCATATATTCTGACATATCTTCTGGCATTCTATCTGACATATCTTCATTCTATCTGGCATATCTTCTGGCATTCTATCTGACATATCTTCTGGCATTCAATCTGGCATTCTATCTGGCATATCTTCTGGCATATATTCTGACATATCTTCTGGCATTCTATCTGGCATTCTATCTGGCATTCTATCTGGCATATCTTCTGGCATATGTCCTGGCATATATTCTGACATATCTCTGGCATTCTATCTGGCATTCTATCTGGCAAATCTTCTGGCATTCTATCTGGCATATCTTCTGGCATTCTATCTGACATATCTTCTGGCATATCTTCTGGCATTCTATCTGACATATCTTCTGGCATTCTATCTGGCATTCTATCTGGCATATCTTCTGGAATATCTTGTGGCATATCTATCTGGCATATCTTCTGGCATATTTTCTGGCATTCTACCTGGCAAATCTTCTGGCACTCTATCTGACATTTTATCTTCCTATATAAGGTCCGGCAGGGAACACTTGGCGTGGATACTCGCGGTTGAGGTCCGGCAGGGAACACTGGGCGTGGATGGTCGTGGTTGAGGTCCGGCAGGGAACACTGGGCGTGGCTGGTCGTGGTTGAGGTCCGGCAGGGAACACTGGGCGTGGATGGTCGTGGTTGAGGTCCGGCGGCGAACACTGTGGATCGCGAGTCGCAGTTGAGCAGGAGGACGAGGAGGACAACGAGGACGACGAGGACAACGAGAGGACGACAAGGATGACAAGGAGGACGAGGAGGAGAGGAGGAGGAGGAGAGGAGGACGAGAGGAGGACGAGGCAGGAGGAGGAGGCAACTGACATAAAATCTAACAACCCTCACCTGGCAGGTGGGGAAAAAAACTATATATTTATTTATTTAGTCTATTAAGTTTTGTGCCTGTGCTACATTCCCAGCAAACAATGCTTTGAAGAAATGATGTTCTTCAAAGAAGTACGTTTTCCTTACACAGCATACGCTTCAATCAAGAATTATAGGACCGGATAACCCCACATGTTAACAACTTCGCCAGACTTAGACTGAGCATAGAAAAGCAACAAGGGAAGAGGAAGTATGAGAGCGATGGAGGGGTGATGGTGGGTGAGTTTGTGTGTATGTATGTATGTGCATGTACAGGTGTGTCGCTTTGGTAGTGTGTTAACGATATGTGTACCGGGTGTACGAGGCAGTTTGTAATATATGTGATGTGCAGTGCACCAAGTCCCGCACCTGCCACGCAAAAAGCCGGTGAGTGAGTGAGTGAGTGAGTGAGTGGGTGGGTGGGTGGGTGGGTAAGTGAGTGAGTGAGTGAGTGAGTGAGTGAGTGAGTGAGTGAGAGAGAGTGAGTGAGTGTGAGTGAGTGAGTGAGTGTGAGTGAGTGTGAGTGAGTGTGAGTGAGTGTGAGTGAGTGTGAGTGAGTGTGAGTGAGTGTGAGTGAGTGTGAGTGAGTGTGAGGGAGTGTGAGTGAGTGTGAGTGAGTGTGAGTGAGTGTGAGTGAGTGTGAGTGAGTGTGAGTGAGTGTGAGTGAGTGAGTGAGTGAGTGAGTGTGAGTGAGAGTGTGAGTGTGAGTGTGAGTGTGGGTGAGGGTGAGTGTGAGTGTGAGTGTGAGTGTGAGTGTGAGTGTGAGTGTGAGTGTGAGTGTGAGTGTGAGTGTCAGTGTGAGTGTGAGTGTGAGTGTCAGTGTGAGTGTGAGTGTGAGTGTGAGTGTGAGAGTGAGAGTGAGAGTGAGAGTGAGAGTGAGAGTGAGAGTGAGTGAGTGAGTGAGTGAGTGAGTGAGTCAGTGAGTGAGTGAGTGAGTGAGTGAGTGAGTGAGTGAGTCAGTGTGGGAGGATGGTGGGAGGACAGGCGGGAGGCAGGAAGGAGGAGCGGATACAGCACTAAAAACAAAAACCCCACACGTCAATGTGGGGAAATATGTTGTCATTTAAAAGCTGGTGGTTGCTTTTGAGCTTGTCAAATGTCTTGTCAGGAAGAAGTCTCTTTGTGAAGGTTTTTTTTTTTTATAAAAACAATATTTGTTGTCTACAATGTGTATTGTGTCCTAAAGTGCGGTATTGCTGTCTTCTTCCTTTCTCCTGGTAACATTCCTTCAGGCAAATGCTCTTTTCTTCAAA